TGACTCCAAGATGAACATGAGCCGCCAATGCCAGACCGCAGCTAGCAAGGCCAACCGCAACTTGTTGTGCATCCAAAGATGCATGTCAAGCCGGTCCAGAGAGGTGATGCTCCCCCTCTACGCGACATTGGTCTGACCTCAATTGGAGTATTGCATCCAGTTCTGGGAGCCGCACTTTAAGAAGGATGTGGCCTGCCTTGAGAGGGTTCAGAGGAGGGCCACCCGCTTGGTTGGAGGACAGTAGGGCAGGCCCTACAAGGAGAGGCTGAGGGACCTAAACCTGTTCAGCCTCAGCAAGCGGAGGCTGAGCAGGGATTTGTCAGCTGCCTACAAACTCGTTAGGGGATATCAGCAGCAAATAGGAAGGGCCCTATTCCCCCCAGCAGCACCTGGGGTGACCAGGAACAATGGCCAGAAGCTGCTGGAGAATAGATTCAGGTTAGAGATTAGGAGGCACTATTTCACTGTCAGAGTAGCTAGGATCTGGAACCAACTTCCTAGGGAAGTGGTCCTCGCTCCTACCTTGGGTAAATTCAAAAAGAGGTTGGATGAACACCTATCTGGGGTTGTGTGATCCCAGCATGTGCTCCAACCAGTGGCGGAGGGTTAGACTAGATGATCTATTCAGGTCCCTTCTGACCCCTAACTACTATGAAACAGTCTCCCTTTTCATTTAAAGGTGTGATTTTCTCTCTCTCTTTTTTTTTTTTACTAAAATAATTATACCCATACAAACCTTGTCATGGATGCAGTTACACAAAGGGCATTTCACATATATAGTTTTTGCCTCCTATCCGTACAGCTATGCTGGCATGCATAAATGTTATGCTGGTATAATGACATTATACTATTCTGTGCTGGTCACACCTCATACATACAGAACATGTGTATACACATGGAAAGCATAAAGAAAACAGTTTGACTGAGGGATGCTGAAATGGTATTCATTCTGAAAGCCAAAACAGAAGATCGAGCAAAGAATCTTTTAAATTCTTAAACCTAGTTTCAGCAATGAACCTTTCTGTGGCCTGGGATTTCCTGAATCAGTTGACTGATCTGTGTAACACAGGAGATTCCCTTGCTCATTATATTGCATAGGATCCTACTACTGTACCCTTGTTCTTCCACATCCTGTATTATTTTTGTCTCCATTTTTTGTGATGCTTCATATGCTTATCCTACAAGTCCTTTGCAGCATTCTGCATGCAACTGGCAAATGGGACCTTGACTGGGATCTGTTGGAAAAGGACAAAAATAACAATAACAATAGTAATAATGTTATTAAGTTGTGCTAGTCAGAATCTAGATCCATGATAAAGGAAAACCTATTTAAAAACAAATGTCTTCAGTCAGTAGTCTGAATCTGAGAGGAAAAATAACCCCACTTAGGACTTGGAGAGCTGAAAGCTTTCATTCTTGCACAAAAAGCAGGGATAGTGCCTGTGAGCTATTTTTAAACCCACATCATGTATCCTTCAAGCTACACAACATAGTTGTGTTACAATTTAATAAAGTGAGCTGAACTATGTCAACCATGCATGATTTACATTTTCCTTTTACTTAAACTATGTTTCAAACCCTTTTCCAGATTACACATACAGAGACTATCAAGAATATCATCCAAGGTATGTTGGAGTTCACTTTGATTTAGGAAGGGTGATAGAGAGTGGTAGGTTGCTGGGGATGGAGTTGAAGGGACGGCATACCATTGGTCTTATATTTGTCTACAAAGAAACATCTACTTCTTGCAGATGATGGGCTCCTTTTAAAGGAAACAGGGAAAAATTACATCACTTAAATACAGGAAAATACTTCACTCATTTTATAAAAGAAGGGTGGGATTTAATAACTTGTGATATCAGACTAAATGGGCATTTATTATTGCTTAACTACAAAGAGAGTGAAAAGGAGATCTCAGAATTCTGCCTTGATGGTCTAAAAAATCATGACTTCCCCATATCTAAGGATTCATATTTAGATGGCAGATAGAGCAGGACCAGGTCATACGCCATGCCCAATCTGGCTGCTCCAGATCACATGCTAGAATGCAGACCAAGTCTGTGGGTCAGTCCAGCCCGTGGACTGACCCCATACCACTCATCTGGCCCACAGTACCAGATGAATTTGACACCCTTAATGTAAAGCATCTAACCCATTGTTTTAGGGCATGCTTTCACACAAACACTGGAGGATGTCAGATGATTTGTAATGTTGGTTAGGGACTACAGTTGCTATTTTTATTTTTTTGTTTTCTGATCCTGCTTTGCCTTTTATGCTTTTAGCATTTTGTGTTTCGAGGGGTGTTATTACTGCTTACAAATACATTGGGGCAATAGGTGAATGCACATAATGAGAAGAGATATTGTAGCTAAAGAAGAATATTGGCACAAGAACAAATAGGTATAATCATTTAGGCTGGAATTTAGAAATACTCTAACCACCAGAACTGTGGATCATCTGAAACAGCCTTCTAGTAATAGTAGCAGAGCAAAATATCTAAATGGTAAAGCTGGAGCTCCATAAGTTTATGAAAAAGGATATGGTATAAGATACGATTATTGGCAGTAACACGACTGGACAGTGACCCAGGAGATCCCTTCCAGACACATGTCCTAGAAATGTTGGATAATATTGATACCATGCTTGGCTCCGACATGGCTCTTACAGATATTAAATTCTCCAAGGTATGCCCCAAAGATATAGTTAACTCACAGAACTGTGAGCTGCCCCTCTAAAAATAATTAAAAAAATCAATACTCATTTTCTCTCTCACACTGCTTCCCCCATGTATTAAAATTATCATCTTTTCTAAGACAGGTACAATCTTATTTCTATCTATGTGTAAAGTGCTTAAAACAACAAAACCTTAACCTCTGTTAAGGCTTCTAGGCACTATTGCATTATAGGTGACAAAAATCAAGTTCAGTATGTGCAGCATCAGCAGGAACTAGTTATTTCTTATTCCTCATTGCAGTGACGATGACTATTACACTGAAGAATGCCCAGTTTATGGCAACCTCAATCAAGAGATCCTAGGTAAGACTTGTCTTAATCCTGAGAAATTGTTATGTAGAAATAATATTTTACTGGATAGTATTACTAGAACAACTGCATGATTGGGATATACTTAGATAGTTTTCAAATGCATTGCATTCAGAACTGAAACTAATTTAAAATCTTGAACTATGTTGCTCCAGTTGCTTCTAGTTGTTCATTTTAAAATGAAGCTTATCAGATTTACCACATTTATTACCCTAACTGTGATATGGTACATTGGAACCAGGACAGTGAATAACGATTTTGGAGAATGAAAACTGAGTTTGGTAAATAGTTTTACTTATAGTATCTCAACAAACACGTGAGGGCTTGTCTACAGGAAGGGGGGGAGTGCTGTTTAATGTACAGTGCAGTGCTATACTCATGCATAAGGCTGTCTGGACACACTTCTTTTCATGTAAACAGCTTTATTTGTTTTAGCTTAATTAGGTTTGGAACATGTTTAAAATGAACTGAACTAAGCAGCTCAAACTGAAATAAGACTGTCCACATGGATTTCAACTGATTCAACTAAACCACTTCCAATTTGTATATCAACATGTCCTTAAGCAATGAGAAAAGGAGGAATCCATTTTTACCAGTGCCTAAAGAGGTACTAAGAGAGGAAATAACTTGACCCAAGTTTGCACTAAATTACTGTCAGAATCAAAAGTTGAATCTAATTACTCCGACTCCTAGCAACTTCCAACACTGACTGACCAACCTGTCCAGGTTGGGTCCCTGAGCAGCCTCGCTTAGCTTGGGAGAACTGATAGGTCATGTTGCTAAAAGCACTGTCAAGATCAGTGGTGCTCCACCTTCAGCCCTGCAGACCAGATGAGTGACATGGAGCCAGTTTGTGGGCCAGATCCTGTGGGTGGGGTTGGTCTGCAGGCTGGATCCAGCATAGGGTTGACATGTAGTGTCAGTCTACAGGTGTGATCTGGCTTGCTAGTATGGCCTCACATGTGGGATTTGGTGTTGGAGTGACCCCACACACCAGCATGGTTTCCAGACCCATGGGGAATCTCTAAGCTGGATTTGGCCCACAGGCCAGAGGTAAACACCTCTGGTCAAGACTGTTCATGTTTTAAAAGTTATCCTAAAATTAAAAAAAACAACTTGCTGGACAGCCAAAATTGTTGTCCCGTTCGACAATCACAAGAATAAATAGACCCATGTATAGGAAGAAAATGAAATTAAGTCTGGATTTCCTGTCCTTTTTCCTCTTTTCCCAAAGGAGGGCAGAGTGAGCATTTAATTTTGAATTTTCATTTCCACTAATGTAGATGTGGGAGATGCAGTTCTATCCTGGAGCGTTTCTGCTTATCTTTTCATCATAGACAGTATCTTATTAACATTAAGAAATATTTTTCCTTTTTTAATAAGCCTTGGAGGAATGTTGCTATGAACAGATGACGGCTCAGCCCCAGAGACCCTCTACTGGGTTACAGGTATCCTTATTTCTACCTTTCCGCTTAGCCTTCATCATCAATAAACACATTTTGTCTCCAACTCCTTTTATGGGTCCATTAGTAGCGGTCAGCCCCAGCCTCTTCTGCAGTGAAGAGTGGGAAAGTTACACTGCCTTCAGTTCCAGTTCAGCCAAGCACTTAACAGTGTACTTGGTGATTTTGCCTAATCCATGCATTAATGAGGAAATTTGATCATTGCAAGCACCCAAAGAGTAAACGCAAGTCATAAGAATACAGCTCTAAGCAAACCGTGGGTTTAATGACATGGATTCTAGAGGGGTTAACAGGGAATTTGCTCCATTGTGTCAAAAATATCAGCTTAGCCACTAACAAGTAATGACCTACTGAAATCACAATTTTGAGGAAAACATGAAAGCTGGCTTTGCCTGTGGAAGTGGGCAATGTCTGCAAAATCTGCAGAAAACAAAAACAGCTTACTGAAAATAAAATGCTGGCTCCCCAGTTGGAGCCAGCAGTCCTCATGGTGCTGTGGCCCAGCTGTGCAGCCTGCCAGAGGGGAAGTTATGATGGATGCCAGCATACAGGGGATCCCAAGATGGCTGCCTCCCCCGCCCCTCACTGCTGATTGGCTATGAGGGCTGCCTATCATAGAGCTCTGCGCCTCTCCTCCAATCAGCAGTGGGGGTGGGGCCACAATGCAGACAGACCTCAGCCAATCAGAAGTAAGGTGTGGGGCCATATGGGCAGCTTTTGCAGCCAATCAGCAGCAAGGGGCAGGGCCCCGGGGACATCTTGGTCAGGGGCATGGCGGGGGTGGGGACAGCCACGATAAGCCCTTGAAAATGATAGCAAGCCCCACAGTTGGCCAATGAAATTGGCCAGCCGCCTCCGAGTTGAGCCAACCCCTACTAACAAGTGAAGTTACATATTAAAATATGTTGAAGGTATTTTAGGATTTTGGCTACTAATCATGTATACTGTGCTCATCAGATAATTTCTAAATACATTATGTATTTAAAAAAATAAGATGTGGCAGGATAAGAGAATCCTTGGTTTTGGGGCAAAAGGTACTTACCTATTATTGAAAATTAAGTAATGACCTAATAAATGAGGTGCTAAAATCTGAGTCACCAGCATGGCATTGCTTGCTGTAGACTTCTGCTTTCAAAATAAAATACATAAGCTGGGAGTTAGAAATATACTGGGAAAATCTAAATGAATACTTGACTGATTGTGGTGTGGCAGACCTAAGCCATATGCCCTGCAATTTACAATGTCTGGACCATAGTATAGTCATTACCATGACTGCACTCTAAACCTGCACAAAAGCTTAAAGGGTGTAGTTGTTCAGCCAAGGATTAATACTTTACAAATATTACTAAACACAATGTTTCTCCTCTTAGGTGCAACCTGAAAATCAGATGTGCTACGCATCTCTGGATCACAGCATTAAGGGAAAACACAGAAAACCTAGGAAAAAAAAAGCTCCGATAGAAGAGGAGGAAGACAGGACATCTAAAAGCAGCACATTGGCTTCTAAAGCTAGCATTTATCTCAATAGTGAGCAACTAGCTGCTGAAAACACGGAAACAGAAGCCATTCATGATGACCCCATCAGATTATTTGGTTTGATTCATAAAGCAAAGGAGAAAACATTTGAAGGGGATTCATGACCCAGCTGAGTCATCATGCCAAATAAAGGGTCTTCTGCCTGGTCATGCAACAGGAAGATGCTGCATAAATAAGGATTAAAAACCTGGTAAATTAATGCACCAATCAATGGTACAAATGGATGTCACAAGCAACTGCAGACTAATTTAGGCCAGTAAATAGCAGGATGTTAGACCTTGACTGTTAATTCTGAGGCCACCTGAAGAAGAGCTGGACACCCACGTATCCACCCAATTTCCAAGGGAGTTGCAGGAACTGCAAACCTCTCAGAATCTGGCCCCAATTAGCTGTTGCAATGTGTTGTTATGCTATTAGGTTAGATTCAGTCCTTTTATTTTACCCCTTTTTCTGAAATGAAATAAAAAAGCCCCACTCAGTCCTCTGCAGTATACTAGCAGGTTCTGACTGTTATTCTTTAGTTTCATAAATAATTCTGGAATTAGAGGCACTTTAGGATTGGTGTATTTAAGATTGTGGTTGATTGTACAATTAAAAACTTGTTATGCTGTATTTCCCCACTGTGACCTACAGTAACATGTCATTATATTTAAGTTTAGAGAATAATTGCACAACTTCAGTTCATTTAATTCAGTACTTAAACATCCAGAAAAACTTAACAATTCCCTTACATGTACTTTTGGTTTCCTTTTGGTGACCTTTTCCAGAATGAATCTCCCTCCTTACTCTTCTATTAATGTAACATTTTAATCGGCTCTTTGTAAAGAAAATGGCAAATGATCCAGAAAAACAAACCTCCTAGGGAAGATTTATTCCCATAATTTTCTATTTGATTCTACTGGGCATGTCTACACAAGATGCTAAATACGCAATAGACTAATTTTACCACACATTACCATCACTAAGAAGGCATGTGTCGGTACTACTGCGCAGTAGTGCCAGTTACTGCTCATTGAGTTAGTACCTGTTATAATAGGTACTAAACTTAATGTGCAGTAACTATGGCACATTAATGCACATGTAGGCATGCCCCCTGACTTTTACATTGATGCTTTTAAAGCTATTTCAGGAAAGTAGAAAGGCCCTTTTATTTCCAACAGGATTCATATGGTGCATGCACCATATTTGGACTTTTGTCATGCTAAAAGGTGTTTAGGGAAGGGTCTTGTTCTTTTTTTAATATATGAAACATTTTGGGTTTGTGTAAATATTAATAGTAATAATAGGTCATGGTTGTAATGGTGCCACCTTTTGGTACAGGAGCTCTTCACATGCAAAACAAACAGAATATGAATTGTTATATTCTGAAAATATTAAGTATTACTTGAATGTGTCTGCATCTTTCTTACAATGAAAGTCTCCAAAAGAATAGCTAATATGAAGGAACCAGAAAAAAAAAAATACTAGTAGTGAACTGAAAATGTATTTTGCACATTGTGATAAAAACCAATCTGAGATTTCAAAAAATAAGAAGATAAGCTTGAACTGAAATATGGGAACGCTAAAGGAGGAAATTTATCTTACCCATATCAAATCTGAAGGAAGTATTTATAGCTTAGTTACTACAGTAGATCAAAGAACACAACATCTATCAACAAACTCTTGCTTAACTTTACACACCAGAAGCGCGCGCGCGCACACACACACACACATACACACACACACACACACACACACACACAGACACACACACACTGCTTCAATTTAGGGCTGATCAAACCCCCGTGTTGTGTGCACACCCCACTTACTTACCTGCCTCTCTGGTGGACGGGGAAGCAAGTTGTTGGCAGGTGGAGTGGTCTCTGGGCTGTGTGGGGGGTAAGTGCTTCCCCCTGCAGCAGCGGCAGCCCCCGCCCCAGGCAGCACCTGTACGCAGGCACCCGGCTCGGGTGGTTTGCTGTGGTAGTTTGCTGCGCCAAGTCATTTAAGGAGCGTTACGCCACTGAATTTCCTAAAGCAGCTGGAATTAATGCGCAATATGCCACTGAGGTGTGAAAACACTGACACCATTAAAGCAGTGCAAAAGCATTTAGCCTGCTTTAAAGTGTTGTGCACACCACCCACTTGTTTCGTTTACAGACGGCCAAGCATTTCTGCTGCTCCTATTTTTATTTACAGTGGCAGCGTCTATACAAGATGCTACTACACAGTCACTTAATAAGTTGTTGTAATTGAAATGTATTTAGTATGTAAGTATTAAATAAATGCAGTAACCTGAGTTACTGCACAGTACCGCCAGTGAACAGACACTTTTTTTGTGATGTTACTGAGCAGTAGCCTAATAATATTGTGCAGCAGCGTTGTGACACAGTTTTTGCCATGTGACGCTACTGCGCAGTAATATTGGGCTACTGAGCAGTCAGCGTCTTGTGTAGACATGCCCAGTGGATCAAAGACAAGGGATAGAGTATTTTAAATTACAACAGCTTATGAAGTCAGTGGTGGAAGTCAAAAGTGGCCAAGGACTACTTTCTGGGTTTCTCATGCTGCTTGTACTGGGCACATGGACTTTGCATTCAACCTCCCGCTTTCACAGTGGAAATCCCAAATTTCTGGTAATCTCATGGGTTACTAAAGCCTCAAAACAAAACATGTTTAATTCCCATTAACATCAATAGAATATATACAAATGCTTAAAGCTAACCTCGTATCTAAGTGTCTTGCTTATCTGGGAGTATTGTAACTTTGCTCCCTCAGTATTGTTAGTCTTAATTTAATCTTTTATGGATTGATAATACCTCATACCAGCTAGGAAAACTTGCCATCTTTTCCTAGTCATTTGATGATGGAAGCAAACATGGAAACTTTGGCAGATTCTATTTCTATGTTTGGCCACAGCTTTGATTAAATGGTCTAAAGGTTATCATCATAGGATAAGTAATTTTATCCTATGATGATTTTTAGGATATTTTAGGATAAACAACATTAAATGACCACATCAGCTATTTCTGGAGATTTCTACTGGTCCTAATATATGGATATTTTTCCCCTTCAGCAGTAAGGAGATCTTTTTAAGGAAATAATTCTTCAGCTCTGTAGCCTTGGCTTAAATTTTTATATAGACTGAACCTTTTGTCCTTAGCCTACAAGTCAGTGAAAACCATAGATCTGACCTAGCAACAACCTTTTTGGAGGTGGTTTTCAGGTGATTGCAGAACTCTGAAAAGGAGAATATTCTTTTTTTGCTCCCTCTTCAGCAAACTTCCTAGGGGATCCCATGTGACTGTGTACATGATAAGTGTGTGTTGTATAAATGCCATGTTAAAGAGTAATTTCAGTAAAATTGTTAGTAAACATCTGCATAGCCTAAAATTCTGTTTTCAGTAATATACTGAGAAAGTATTTTAAATAAAACCAAGGTAAAAGAAGAGCGTAAAACTGTGATCATATCATAAGCAAGTTGAACATGTATTTACTTTCATATAGCCTGAGACCCTCAAAAGAGTGAAGTGAACCAAGACAAAGCTGGAAGGGGAATTATTATTTTTTTTATTACAAATATCCTCATAAAAGCATTACAAATAATATTATCACTATATATAATCTCTCATAGCTCAAAAGAAACCATAACTATTTATAACTCATCCCCCTAAAAACAAAACAAAATTTTATCTTTTTTCCATATATAATGCAACCTGAACATAACGTTGTTTACATCACATCCCCCCCAAACAAACTAAACAAAGAGCATCTTTCTTCCATATCCCCTGTCACGGCGGGGTCCTATAGGAGGGCCGTGATCTCCTTAAGGCCGTCTCTCCGTGCCAATTCGGCCCAAGGGCACCCTCGATTCTCGCCCGCCACGTCTTTGCTGTTTAGTATATGTTGGGAGGCTGCCTTACGACTCCCTGGGCACGGATAGCTGGGACCTCTGTCCCTGTGTGTTCCCGGACCCCCTGGGGGTCTCCCGGTATGATGGGTGCTCCCCAGGCAGCCTAGCCTTATGGGCTACGCGTGGCTCCTACCAACCTCTAATACCACGCCCCAAGCCTCACTGATGGGATAGACATTGGTGTGTCTCTCTATACGTACACGGCCACCTTCCCTGGGGCCTTCTCTCATAAGGCGCTCCCCTCTTCGGGGGTTCGCCGTGCCCACCTTGGGCTTCCTAAAATGCTGCCCCCTTCTCTGGGGCCTTTTCTAGCGCTGCCCCTCTTCTCTGGGGCCTCCTCTAAAAGTGTTGTCCCACTCAGGGACCCTTGCCCGCTTTGGGACTCTATATCGAGCCTCCGGTCTTTCAGGCCCACCGCGCTGCTTCCCCTTTTCCGGGACGCTGTGCTGCTATCCCCTTTTCCTGGGGTCCACCACAGCACCCTGCCCTTCTCTTGGGTTTTCTGCAGCGCTAGCCGGTTACCGGGCTCGTCATGCCCCTCCTGGGCTCCTCACATATTGCCCCTCTCGGGCTCGTTGTGCCCGCCTTGGGCTTCTTAATAGTGCCGCCCCCTCTTTGGGGCTCACTGTGCCCACGCTGGGCTCCCTAATAAAATCGCCCCTCTCTCTGGGACTTGTTGTGCCCACACTGGGCTTCTCTAGAGTGCGCTCCCCCTTCCTGGGGCTCGCCACGCCCACGCTCGGGCTTCCTAGTACTGCCCCCTCCTGGGGCTCGTTGTGCCCACGCTGGGGCTTCTCAAAACGCCCCTCTCCGGGCTGGGGTCTACACACCCCACAAGTTGCGCCCTTACTGGCGCTAGGGCCCCCACCCCTCTGGGGTCCCTATGAGGTTCAGCCGCTCCTCTCTGAGCTTAGCTGACCCCAGGACTCTGCCCTGCAACTCTCAGGGCCTAGTGCGCCCTCACTGGCGCCAGGGCCCCACTTTACTGTGAGCCCCCTATGAGGCCTCCTCCAACCCCTACAGCCTTGCCCAAACCACCGGTGTAATACACAACAACACAAACATAAACTCGAGCCTCCTGGCTATAACTCAACTCAAAGCTGCCTGGCTATAACTTAACACTGTTCAACTCTGATCGAGCGGTACTTGCTATTAGGCTTCTCTCCTCATCCTAACTACAGGAGCTCCTGCCCCTCTGGCCACTGGCAGGGAACTGCCAGCCTGGCCTTGACTCTAGGCTTTATAGGAGCCAGGCCCTGCCCCCTCAGGATCAGCTGACTGTGCTCATTATCTCTGCTGAGGCTTTTCCCCAGCAGTTCTCCCCTCTCTAGGAGCGAGGTGCGCCGCGACATCCCCCAAAATATGAATGTTTACATCACCCCCCCAACAATTTAAACAACATGCCTCTCTCCCATATATCACACTATGAACCTAGAACTGTTTGCATCACCTCCGCACTCCAAACAATTTGAAAACAACAATCTTTTTCAAATCCAACTTAAAGCTTTTTCTCCACTCCCTTTTTTCAGATAACATCCACCCTCCCACTTCAAATACACAAGCAACCACATAGATTTATACATCAAACATAAAACATCATTATTTTTATCTTACCGGTACATATCTTTATGGAGCCACTCAAACAAT